TTTTTTTTTAAAGATTTATTTACTTATTATGTATACAACATTCTGCCTCCATGTATGCCCACACACCAGAAGAGGGCGCCAGATCTCATTACAGATGGGTGTGAGCCACCACATGGTTGTTGGGAATTGAACTCAACCTCTGGAAGAGCAGCCAGAGCTCTTAACCTCTGAGCCATCTCCACAGCCCAAACAAACAATTTTAAATGAAGGTGTGAACTACTACTGATTGGCTCCTTTCCCCCACTCCTTGAAGCTTGTTCTCTGCCCACAGTTCTTCATCCCTCCCTCCCTTTTCTCTATGGTGGAGGAGATGGTAGGTGATGAATGTCAAGGCTACAAACCAACCCCACATAAGTGGCACAAACCAGTAATGCCTATACTTGGGAGTCTAAGGCAGGAGGATGACCAGTGAGGCCAGCCTTGTCTATACAGTAAAAGCCCATCTCAAAAACAATAAAGTATACCACTGTGAAAAGCATAAGGCACTGTTACCTGGCAATATCTTTGACTAAAAGCACTAAAAGCATAAGGCACTGTTACCTGGCAATATCTTTGACTAAAAGCACTAGGGAAAAGCTGACAGCTAACGACATTCAAATCTGGTTCCTACAGCTGTAGTAATGAGGTAGAAACGCAGGAACCAGACCCGTGGCTTTTTCTTTCTTAGTGTTTTATTTTTTGCCATGCTGGGAGAGAACTCAAGGCCTTGTACATGTCAGAGCAGGGCTCTGCCTCCGCCCTACAGCAGCAGCCCTCAGAATCCCCTCATCACCTCTGCCCTACAGCAGCAGCCCTCAGAATCCCTCTGCCTCTGCCCTACAGCAGCCCTCAGAATCCCTCTGCCCTACAGCGGCAGCCCTCAGAATCCCCTCTGACTTTTTTTGTATTTACTTTTCTTTTTCTTGAAATAGTTTCATGTAGCCCAGGCTAGCCTGGACCTTCCAGACAGCTGAGGATAACCTTCAAATCCTGATCCTCCTTCCTTTACCTCCCAAGTGCTGGAATTATAGGTATGTATGCCACTATTCCCAGTGAGTTTTCAAATTGAAAGATACTGTTCTTTATAAAAGGCTTAATAAAGGGGCTGGAGAGATGGCTCAGAGGTTACGACCACTGTCTGCTCTTCCAGAGGTCCTGAGTTCAATTTCCAGCAACCACATGGTGGCTCACAGCCATCTATGAGATCTGGTGCCCTCTTCTGGCGGGCAGGCATACATGCAGGCAGAACATCGTATACATAATAAATAAATAAAATTTTTAAATAAAGGCCTAATAAAAATGATCAAAGGTCAGATGTGGTAGCATGTATCTTTAATCCCAACATTCATGAGGCATGGGCAGGCAGATTTCTATGAGTTTGAAGCCAGCCTCGTCTATACAGTGAGACCCTGTCTCAAACAAACTACACCCCCCCAAAAAATTCAAACAAGATACTAATTTTACAATCTCTGTAGAGCTCAAGAGAAAAAGAATTCTAACATGAGATCTAAGACACCATGAAGAAAAGTTCCAGTCTCACTGTTCCCTTTTATGTCTGAAAGCGTGACCTAGGGATTCCATACACAACACCATGATCTCTCCCAGTGCTGAGAAGACTCAGTAGCCATCAGAACTCAGGGGTGCTGCGTGGTGGGATACCGCGATCACATGAGCTGGAGGAACATGAGTATGACGATGCAAAAAAACCAGAAGTGGATCGAGTGATACAAAAGGCATTTCCCGTAAGTGACCCTTATCAAAAGATCCTGGGAAGGCCTCAGAAAAGCAAACACAAATGGGGAGCAAAGTCCTAGCTCAAAGCACAGCATTTCTATAATGTTTAAATGTCCTGACTTCAAACAAACAAAGCAGCTCACACAGAAGTGTGACTCCCCCAGCCCCCAAGACTGGGTCTCATTACATAGTCCTGGCTGTCCTGGAACTCACTCTGTAGACCACGCTGACCTCTAACTCACAGAGATCCACCTGCTTCTGCCACCTGAGTCCTAGGGATTAAAGGTGTGAGTCACCATGCCCAGCTAGGTGCAACATTTTATAAATCCCCATCGGATACTGGGCCCTGAATTCCAAAGTAAGTGCTGTACTCCTGCCCCATCATCAAGTTCAGTAAATAGTCAGATGGTTAAGACAGAGATGGGCACTGCGCTAAAAATAATAAGAAGACTTCTTTCATTTTATTTAGGATCTTATGTTTCTAAGACTGGATTAGCTGAAAATAACTGAGATGTCTCACAAAATTTAAAGTTTATATTTAGTTGGTTTTCTTTTTTGAGATTTTCTTTTTTGAGACAGTCTCATTCTGTAGACCTAAAACTTCCTATGTAGCTCAAGCTGACCTCAAATTCACAGCAATCCTCCTGCCTCGGCCTCCTAAATGCTGGGATTATAAACATGAGCTACCACACCTGGCTTTCTCCCCAACCACTTTTGTTTTGAATCCAGGGTCTCGTGTAGGTCAGGTCCCTGAGCTTCTGATACTTGTCTCTGCCTCTCACATGTGGGATTACAGGCGTATACCAACTGCACTCTTCTTTAAACTGAACTCACTCTTTCTAAACACTAAATTCTTTAAAATGAATGAATGTAGAAGTCAGGTGGTGGTGCACAAGTCTTTAATCCCAGCACTTGGGAGGCAGAGGCAGGCAGTTCTCAGTGAGTTTAAGGCCAGCCTGCTCTACAGAGCGAATCCAGGACAGTCAGGACTGTTACACAGAGAAACCCTGTCTCGAAATAGAAACAGAAATTGATGTAGAACCGGCTATGATGTAATCCAGCACCTAAGAGGCAAGCTTGACGTCAGCCAGGGCAGAAAAGCGAGGGCTAGGGAGAAAGGGATGCTGGACACTAGGTGCTCAGTGCAAAGAGCCTGATGCGAATAAGAAGCCTGGGGATCCAGCTCTGATCCCTGGAACCCACGTGTGGAAACAGAGCGCTAACTCCTACAAACTGTCCTCTGATCTGCACACAAATATAAAAATGTTTTAAAAGGATACTATAAACAATGGAAGCAACACTTGTGCAGACTTAGCAGTAACACCTGTGACATAAAGGACATCTACCATGTAGTAGAGACTGTAATAGGTGAGAAGCACTTTTTGAGCTTAGAATAAGACCCTTTCTCAAAAAAATTTAAAAAAATCCAGGAACTGGACAAGATGGCTCAGTGGGTAAAGCACTTTGCCAATGAGCCTGACAAGCTAAATTCAATCCCTGGAACACACAGAGAGCTGAAGAGAGCCAATTCCACAAAGTTTTCTGACCTTCACACAACTGCTAAGGAATGTGTGCACCTAACTCAGATCACATGCACAGTAACAACACCAACATAACTTACTAGCTGCTGATAGTTCAAGCACTGCTGGAAAACAGACCATGACGGAATTAAGATCAGATATGGAATGGATTATAAATGCTTATGTGATCACTCAGTCACCCAGAAGACGTTCTGGGAGATCGAACCCAAAGCTGCTTAACAGCAGTAGCCTAAGAGCTGGAGAAATGAGGACCTGAGCCGAACTGTTTAGAGACTGAGAGTTTAGGTGACATGTCTACAGGGACAGCCGAGACTGACACCAGGAAGGAGTTTAGGTGATGCGTCTACAGGGACAGCCGAGACTGACACCAGGAAGGAGTTTAGGTGACATGTCTACAGGGACAGCCGAGACTGACACCAGGAAGGAAGTTAGGTGACGCGTCTACAGGGACAGCCAAGACTGACACCAGGAATGGACGCTTCAGAAGTAGCTTAAATATTCTGTGCCTATGCCTCTTAGGTTCCTCTTTTGTTAAAAAAAAATTGATATTATTTAACTTTTGTTAAAGCAGGGTCTCAGGAGGCTGAGGCTGGGGGGGAGGGGATTATGAGTTTCAAGGCCATCTGGAAGACCTGTTGAAATCCTGTCAAGAGAAAAATAAAAAGTAGCAGTGGGTGTTGCTTGGAAAACAGTGCATGTAACTGAGGAGAATCAGAGGCTGGAACCCACCAGTGTGCCAGCAGTCTGCCCACAGGGAACTGGGGAGGCTTCTCTTTAAAAGAGAAGGTAGGGCTGGAGAGATGGCTCAGAGGTTAAGAGCACTGCCTGCTCTTCCAAAGGTCCTGAGTTCAATTCCCGGCAACCACATGGTGGCTCACAACCATCTGTAATGGGATCTGGTACCCTCGTCTGGCCTCCAGGAATACAAGCAGACAGAATATTGTATACATAATAAATAAATAAATATTTTAAAAAAAGAGAGAGAGAAGGTAAACATTAGAGACAGGCTTTTCCTGCATATCTGCTACGTGTTAAGCACCTCACTCTCATCATATGCTGTACAGTAGTGATTTCGCACTAATAAGGAGGTATTCTAACACTTGATAAATTTTGTTCCGGTAAGTTCTCACTATGAGGTTGATGCTGTCTTGAAACTCACAACCCTGCCTCAGCATCTTAAAACCTTCATACACGTTTCGTTTTCTCCTCGTCTTTTTTTTTCCTTCTCTTGAGACAGGATCCATTGTAGCCTAATGTAATATACAATACACTGGCAAATTGTCATATGCTGTTTGAGCTCACTGAAACACTCACTCCACGTTCAGGCCCAAGCACATCTGTCTCACTGCTGTCCAAGGCTCCCTGTCTGGGGGTGTACTGCCTGCTCCAAACTCTGTAATGAGGAAGGAAAAAAACAGCAAGCCAGCCCAGGAGTAAAACATCTTGTTCTTGGAACATAGAAGGTGAACCATGTCAACACACCTTACTATTATTTAGTGTGATATAAAGAGCCTACAGTGAGGAAGACAAGCTGGAGGAAGTCCAACATGGAAAGCTCACCCACGGACAGAAGGCAATCTGAAACTTCAGCAGACTGCCTCAGCCTCCCCAGTCCTGGGATTACAAGCAAATACAACACCCAGCTTAAATATTGTTTTTGTTTAAAATTTTAAACATCTATTTTATATGTATGAGTGTTGTGCCTGCACGTGCATTTGTCTGTATACCATGTGCATGCCTTGTGCTAAGGAGGAGAAAAGCCACTGAATCCCTTGGAATTGGAGTTGTGGGTAACTGAAAGCCTTCGTACGCATGCTGGGAATCAAATCCAGGTCCTCTGCAAGAACAACTGCTTTTTTTTTCTTTTCCATTTTTTGAGATAAGGTTTCTCTGTAGCTTTGGAGCCTGTCCTGGAAGTAGCTCTGTAGACCAGGCTGACCTCGAACTCACAGAGATCCACCTGTCTCTGCCTCCCGAGTGCTGGGATTAAAGGTGTGCACCACCACCACCGCCAGGCAAGAACAAGTGCTCTTAACCATTGAGCATACCTCTCCATCCCTTAAATATTGATTTATTTTTAATCAAGATACAAAGGTGGGAGGTTCAGTGGTAGAAGCCTTGCCTGACATTCCCAAACCTTGGGTTTGATCCCTAGTATAGAAATAGTATAAAAATAACTATGAGGGTGTGGTGGTATACACTTTTACCCTAGCACGCTGGAAGCAAAGGAAAGTGAATGTCTGAGTTCAAGGCCAGCCAGTCTACAGGGCTAGCAATAATAATGAAAGAAAAACACACGAAGGCTCAGAGAGTTGTCCTGAGGCTACACAGAGGAAGTATGAAGACAAAGAGCAGGACTACAGAATAGACTCTTGGACTCCCCCACTCTACGGCGTAACTTCTCTCTGGGTATGAACTGAAGATTTACACATACAAACTTACCAAGAAGCCAGCTATCTCTATGCATCCCAGTCTCAAACTGACTGCATAGAGAAGACTGCTGTAGCACGGAACAGTCCTGGAGGCTGCCCGGCCAGCGTGTCTCCACAGCCATCAGTGCCCCTCTGATGTCACACACCACCAGACAGTTCAAAGAATGCAGACCCTTGCCGTTCACATAAGAGAGGTCTTCAGCATTCGGTGCCTTGATTGCCACGTGGATACAGTCAACCACCCCTATGACTCCTGGCATCCCAGCCAGCCCACAGAACTCATCCTTCAGAGACTGGACGGCGGCCTCGTCTGCTGGAAAGTGAATAAACTGTGAGGCCCTGTCCACGAGGGCCTCAGTGACATTGGCAACACATCGGCTCATGGAGGCTTGGCTAATCCCAATTGCATCTCCCATCCGAGTCTGGAAGGAGCCCGAGGTATAGAAGCCCAATGCTGCCAGGATCTGAGTTTCTGGGCTAATAGCCCTAGATCGCTGAGTAGGTCGAGAAAGACTTGCCCCCAAGAGTTCCACTAAGTAGTAAATGAACTGTCGTGGAAATCCATACGTGGACATCAAATATTCATCAGTCACATCATCCAGCTTAAAACGGTCCAAGGTCCGGTGACCTCGGCCATACAGCAAGAGATCACAGTCAAGCACTGTTATTGGTATAGCCATAGCCTATGTAGATATACACATCTGTTTTTTCTGAATTTTTCCCAACGAACAGGTTGGCAAAAGAAGTGTCAGAATTCAACAGCTAAACCATTGGTTAAACGGCTCTGGCATTTAAAACCTTCTTCCTGCAAAGTAATTAAAGGAAAAAAAAAACAATTAGAGTTGAGTGGTGGTGGTGCACACCTTTAAGACCAGAATTTGGGAGGTAGAGGCAGGCGCGTCTGAGTTTGAGGTCAGCCTGGTCTACAGAGTGAGTTCCAGGACAGCCAAGGCTACACAGAAAAACCCTGTGTTGAAAGCAAAAAAGAAACAAAAACAAAAAGATAAAATAATTAGAAACCTACCAAAACCATACAAACTGACTCAAAACTACAACACCTTTCCAGCAATTCACTTTTTAACTCTGTATTTTTCTACACTAACTCACCGATATATGACAAATTTGGCCTGATTCTCAGACAATAGGAGTTCAATCTCAGTGACTCATTTCATGCTTGGCATTTCAACTGAGAACAGCAAAAGATTAAGGCAGGTGATGGTCTGTACAGCAGCCAGGAAGCGGCTTAAACACCTAAAGGCTTTGTCATGGAGGTTTGTTTTCCAAAGCCCTAAGTAAGGCTCCACCTTGTAAGTACAAGACCTTTGTGGGAGTGCTCAAACCAGTCTAACTAGGAAGCTAGGAGGGAAGAAAAGAAGTCCTTGACCCTGCTTGGGGACCTACTTCGTCTGCTGTGACGACTGGCATTCCCTTTATCTCTATTTTTTGTTGGTTTGTTTGTTTTTCGAGACAGGGTTTCTCTGTAGCTTTGGAGCCTGTCCTGGAACTCGCTCTGTATACCAGGCTGGCCTCGAACTCAGAGATCCGCCTGCCCCTACAGGGATTAATGGCGTGCGTCACCGCCGCCCGGCCTCCGCCTATCTCAAGGGGTCCAAATCCCAAGGCAGAAGGTTAGAAAGGAAGGCTAGCCAGTATGAAAAGAAAAGGAGAAACAAGTTTGGAAAGCCGGGGCCAATTTTACAACCCGCTTTCAAAATATTATTAAGGTCAGAGAGAGGGCTCCGAGGGCACTGGGGTGGGCTGCGAAGACTGCAGAAATGAGCCCATTCCTGACGTGGTGGAAGGCAAGAACTGTCTGACGCAATTTGTCCTGACGTCCACATCCCTGCCACAGCACGCCCCTCCTCCAATACGTAAACATACATTTTTAAAAAGTTTATTCCTTTAAAGGTTGTGCAATGAAAAGATACCAAACCCAGGCATGGTGGCTCACTGTAATTCCAGTACATGGGAGGTGAAAGCAATGGGAGTGCGAGGCAAGCCTGGACTACGAGAGAGCCAGCCAAAAAAAGAATAATAAAACAAGACTCCCAAGACTGGCCCAGCGCTAAGAGTAACGTCTGTAAAGTTGGACGCGGGGGAAGCAGCATGGCCGCGTGTTCCAGGACATCTTGAGCAACAGTACCTTCTAATCTAACCTGAGTTACACAGAGAGACCTTGTCTCAAAAGAGCAAAATACCAGCTTGACTGCTCGGGCACCCGGAGTCGGCGGCGGCTGGCACAAGATCGCCGCAGCGGCAGGGTTACCGGGCGCGCACCCCGCCTGCCCAGCCCGAGAAGCCCTCCTCCGGAACCCGCGGAGGCGCACAGGCCGCCACGCTGCGCAACAGCGGCACCGCCCTCTTCGCGTCAGCGCCCGCCCACACCGCGTCCTCGGCACCGCGGCCGCCGCGACCAGCGCTTCGCTCCGAACATTCCACACGGAGCCCGAATGGTCTCGAGCTCCCAAAATTCCTTTCCATGCACTCTTCTTTCCTAAGAGGCTTTAAAATTGTGCAAAAGATTTATTTCTGGAAAGAAACCAACTTTCATGGAGACTCTGAGGTACCGAAAAATTAAATAGGGCGTCTGTGCTGTAGCGAAAGTGCAACTGCTGTTTGACAGCTGCATTTCCCACACAGCGCCCTCTCTCCCCACCGCCTGCACCGAAGCGGATGAAAACAAACACTAACGATGGCGGCGCCGGCGGGTGACTGGTTGCTGGCTTAGGGCGGGAGAGATCGCTTGACGCGTGAAGAAGCAGCTCTGAGGAAAACTAGTTGACATCAGCCCGACAGTTTGCTCAGTTCTTGGAGGCAGGAGCCTCTTAAGGCGTGAGGTATCTCTCTACCACCTGTGCTGCCTATACCGCCCCGGAGCGCGGAACCCTCAGCCGGGAGGCGCGGTTGGCCGGCTCCGAGCCCCGGCCTCCGGAATGAGAGGTATGTGCCGTAGCTTCCCAGGTACTCACTTTTGGGAGTAATAACCTCCAGATGTTTCAGTGACCCCGAGTGGGAGGTCACTTATCTGCGTCCTCTGGGCCACCTCCTCGTGGACGCCCAAGCCGACCAGCGGAGGTTCAGCTGCCTAACCCCATCATTAAGTTTTCTACGGGAAATTGGTTTGGTGTAGACCCTGTTGGTTCTTGAGAGGTCCCAACCGTTACAGAAGTCCCCCTAAACTTCCTTGATGCTTTCTTAGCTATTTGGGTTAAGTCAAGAAGGTCTGTTGAAGATAATTTATGGGGTCGTAAGTAGGGCTTGGTTTTCTTTCATTCGATCAAAAAAAAAAATTGAGTGCCAAATATGTGCTCCGCGTGTAGGTGAGGGTGACTCTTGACTAGTGAAAGAAACGGGGCCCAAAGTTCACGACAGTCTTCTTAGTGGCAGTGAAAACCTGTGGAAACCTGCGACCCAGTCTCATTAAATAACCCTGGGAAAGTAAGAGGCTTAGAGCCTCCGTGGGCTCATCACTGTCACTGAGCTCCCAGTTCGTCTGCTCAGTTCAATCTGAACATTTCTTTTGCCCCCTTTTCTCGCTCTCCAGTGAACAGCCTATCACGTTGCTCTCTTCTGGGTTTCAGTTATGCCCCTGCCTCAGCCTCCTCAGTAGCTGGGACTACCGACCCAGACTGCCACCAGACCTAGTTTGGGAGAGATGAAACAGGGTCCAGCGACGTAGTCTAGGTTGGCCTTGAATTACTATTCCTCCATCCCCAGCCAAATTCGGGGTTTATCAAACATATGCCACCTCGTCTGGCTCTTGGAATTCTCTTAATTAATTATGTGTGTATATGTCTGTGTGTATCTGTGTCTTTGTCTGCCTCCCCAGTGTTGGCATGTAGCATCATGGTCACCCAAACAGTAGTTTTTGCCGCTATTGGTTTTGAGAGAGGGTCTTACTAAAACGCAGGCTGGCCTTCAACCTAGAGCAGGAAGTGGCCTTGAACTTCCGAACCTCTTACTCAGCCTCCTGAATACTGGGATTATAGGCATGAACCACCATACCCAACACTAAAGCCCGAGTTTAAATCTTATAAAGGCTTGTAAATCATTAAGTTTTTCCAGATCTTTTTAAACACCTGTCTGTTTGTCCCCATAGAGTTCCTGTGAACGGTGTGTTAAGGAAGTCTTCTGAGGGCCAGTGGAGGCTGCCCAGGCAGTCTCTTCTAATAGTGTCCCTTAGTCACAAGAGAAGGGATGGGAGTGTGAATCACCACTACTTAGGAAAACAATTCAGTGGCCATGTCCAGTTTCTCATGAGTAAAAGTAGATGTCTGAGCCAAAATTAATAGAAGCTGGGGATGGGGAAAAATTAAAAAAGGAATTAACAGTAGTTAGAACAGAATTATGGTTTTAAAGATGCTGCTTCCACTTTGGTTCACGTATACTTGAATAAAATGCCGAGGTAAAAGTCATTTTACAGTCTTTCTAATTTTAAGGAGTTTCAGCTCCTTCCCCCATTAGTATTGCCAGTAGCTCTTCAGTCATTTAAAGGTGATTTTTTAAAAAGATTTATTTATTATGTATACAACATTCTTTCTATGTATGCTTGCGCACCAGAAGAGGGCACCAGATTTCATTATAGATGGTTGTGAGCTAACACGTGGTTGCTGGGACTTGAACTCAGAACTTCTGAAAGAGCAGTCCATGCTCTTAACCTCTGAGCCATCTCTCCAGACCCAGAAGTAAGATTGGTTTTTTTGTTATTGTTGTTTTGTTTTGTTTGTTTTGGAATTTTTGAGACAGGGTTTCTTTGTAGTTTTTGGAACCTGTCCTGTAACTCAAGCTGTAGACCAGGTTGGCCTCGAACTTGCCTGCCTCTGCCTCCCCAGTGCTGGGATTAGAATCGTAATTTAAATGGTATTAAGATTAGAGAATTTAAGGCCAGGGTAGCTTCCCAGGATTTTATTTATTTATTTATTTTTAATATTTTTTTATGGTTTATTTAATGTGCATTGGTGTGAAGGTGTTAGATCCCCTGCAACTGGATCTTCAGACAGTTGTGAGCTGCCATGTGGGTGCTGGGAATTGAACCCAGGTCCTTTGGAAGAGCAGTCAGTGCTCTTAACCACTGAGCCATCTCTCCAGCCCCAGCCAGGATTTTAATCAATGTTAGCTCAAGGCCAACTTGGACTACTGACTGATTTTCAAGACAGCCAGAGATGTGTGTTGAGAATCTGTCTCCAAAAAAGAAAAAAGAAAAAAAAAGATACTGTTTTAAATAACTTTAACTTTTAGTATTTTCATGTTTACCTTTCATCTATCTCTCTTTAGTGTGCTTGTGCATAAGTCTGTCTGTGTCTGTGTGTTTTGTGAACAGGCATGTGGGAAGGTTCTCTCCACCATGAGGGTACAGAGTTCAAGCTCACGTCCCCAGACCTGGTTGCAAACACCTTTACCCACTGAGCCCTCACACCATCCCTCTAGGCATTTTTTTCTCCATGTATTTAATTGATGTGTTGTTTAGTGTGTAAACATCCATGGCTGTTATATTTCTACAGATTATATCTAATTTTTCCAGCAGAAATTCTGATTGTGTGTGTGCATACACCTGTGCCTGCACTCATGCACACACTTGCATGGAGGCATCCACATGTGCACTAAGGCGTGCACGCCTGAACTAAAATCGGGTGTCTTCTATTACCATCTTACATTTTGAGACAAAGTCTCTCAGCAAGCCTGGAGCTTGCTGCTTTGACTAGACTGACTGGCCAGAAAGCTTCCCACATCCCCTCTTTGTCTGCCTTCCCCAGTGATGGGTTAGAGAAGCTTGCTGTGTTGCTTGGCTATTCCACCTAGATCACAGGACCCCCCCCCCCCCAAACCACCATGGAGTCCGCACTCGTGTGTCCAGCACAGCTGTTGAGAGCAGAGAGAGCCAAGCCCAATTGGGGTAGGGTTTTTTAATAGTAGTGGTTGGGGTGAGGAAAGTTACAGGGTTCAGTACCCTGATTGACATTTCTCTAGGGGTCTTGGCAAAGGGGAATAGGTGAGTTCTAGGCTCAGGGACCTCCTGTAATATTGGTAATCTTTTTGTAAAATTGTTTTATTGAGCTATATATTTTTCCCTGCTCTACTTTTTTCCTCTCCATTCCCCTTCAGCCCTCTCCCATGGTTCCCATGCTCCCAATTCACTCAGGAGATCTTGTCTTTCTACTTCCCATGTAGTTCAGATCCATGTATGGATCCTTTTTGTTGTCTAGAATCTCCGAGACTGTGCACTATAGCCTGATTTTTCTTGCTTTATGTCTAAAAGCCATATATGAGTGAGTACACATGATATTTGCCTTTCTAGGTCAGGGTTATATTGAGTGAATATAATGTTTTCTAGATCCATCTGTCTGCTAGCAAATTTCAAGATGTCATTATTTTTTTCTGCTGTGTAGTACTCCATTGTGTAAATGTACCACATTTTCCTTATCCATTCTTTGGTCAAGGGGTATTTAGGTTGTTTCCAGGTTCTGGCTGTGACAAACAATGCTGCTATGAACATAGTTGGACACATGTCCTTGTGGTATGATTGAGCATCCTTTGGGTATATACCCAAAAGTGGTATTACTGGGTCTTCAGGAAGGCTGTTTCCTAATTTTCTGAGAAATTGCCACACTGACATCCAAAGGGGCTGTACCAGCTTGCACTCCCACCAGCAATGTAGAAGTGTTCCCTTTACCCACAACCTCTCCAGCATAAGTTGCCATCAGTGTTTTTGAGCTTGGCCATTCTTACAGGTGTAAGATGGAATCTCAGAGTTGTTTTGAATTGCATTTCTCTGATGACTAAGGATGTTGAACATTTCCTTAAGTGTCTTTCAGCCATTTTAGATTCCTCTGTTGAGAGTTCTCTGTTTAGGTCTGTACTCGATTTTTTTTTTTATTGGTTTGTTCTTTTGATGACCAATTTCTTGAGTTCTTTGTATATTTTGGAGATCAGACCTCTGTCTGATGTGGGGTTAGTGAAGATCTTTTCCCATTCTGTAGGCTGTCGTTTTGTCTTGTTGACTGTGTCCTTTACCTTACAGAAGCTTTTCAGTTTCAGGAGGTCCCATTTATTAATTTTTTCTCAGTGTCTGTGCTGCTGGGGTTATATTTAGGAAGTGGTCTCCTGTGCCAATGTGTTCAAGTGTACTTCCCACTTTCTCTTCTAAAAGGTTCAGTGTGGCTGGCTTTATGTTGAGGTCTTTGATCCATTTGGACTTGAGTTTTGTGCATGATGATAGATATGGGTCTATTTTCATTCTTCTACATATTTATATTCAGTTATGCAAGCACCACTGGTTAAATATGCTTTCTTTTTTCCATTTGATATTTTTGCTTCTTTGTCAAAAATTAGGTGTTC